CGAATCCGAGAGTCCCTCGGTCTGTTTTGCCGCCTGTGGAAAGCCCGTGACGGGATTTTGTTTTGTAGAGCTGCTGGAAACGGGGCTAAGGAGTGAAAGGGAGTCGGAGCTGGATTCCTTCGGAGAGGGGGGAAGTTGACGCACCGGCCTAAGAATAGCTCAGGGAGGGGAAGTACGGACAGTATTGTCGCCAGAGGTAACCTCCGCGGCGTGAGTTTCTGTGCCCGTGTTGTGTCAGGAAAATCAACCTCTGGAGTGAAATTCGCTCCCGTTCCTCAGGGGCCCGCGCGCGGGGAAGCCGCCGTTTCCCGGTGTAGTAGGTCCATGTGCGGTGTTTAGGGTGGTGCCTCGTCGGCGCCTTATCGCGTTTGCTCTCTGGTTTATATTTCAGCTGCTGATGAAATCGCGGCCGGGAGCTGAGGAGTCTTTGGACCTTCCCATGATTGGGACCTTTGACTTGTAAAAGGTTCATTCAAGAAGCTTCGCTGACCAGAAGAGGGGAAGAGCAGCCGGTTGTGGGAGGGAGCGGACCCCGTCCCGGAGCGTGGGGAACTGGGGGGGGGGGCGAGAGGACGTCGCTGTATGTGGAGTTTTTGGACAGTAAGTCATGTGGATTTTGTATGTAGCTGCATGGTCTGGGTTATAAAGCGGTTCTGGAGGAAAGAAAAGGGCAAGAGAGGGTGGAGGCTGTCTTCTGGGGAAGAGTTTGTTGCCTTCGTGAGATTTAAATCTTTAATTACGCTCTGCTGGCCGACCACTGTGTTCCAGAATTTCACAAGGAAAACAAAGGCATCCTGAACCCAAAGTCTTGAACGTTCTTTAAACTTTTATCCTGTTGTTTAGCGATAACCTGAACGCCGAAGTTGTTGTTTTATTTTGTTTGTTTGAAAGTGGGGCAGAGGAAAGACAAACCCAACCAACCTGTTGTGTGGAGAATTCATCTGACGCTGGTGGTTTGGTTGGTTGGTTGGTGGTTTGTTTTTTTTTTTTTTTTTCCTTCTTTTTTCCAAATTCCCAAACCCTCCACCTGTTTTCTTTTCTCCTCCACCAGAAATGCTTTCTCTGAAGAAATATTTCACCGAAGGCCTCATCCAGTTCACCATTCTGCTCAGCTTGATCGGCGTTCGTGTGGACGTGGACACCTACCTGAACTCACAGCTCCCCCCTCTCCGGGAGATCATTCTTGGCCAGAGCTCCGCTTACACCCAGACCCAGTTTCATAACCTGCGTAACACCTTGGATGGATATGGCATCCACCCAAAAAGCGTAGACCTGGACTATTACTTCACCGCTCGCAGGCTGCTCAACCAGGTGAGGGCCCTGGACAGGTTTCAGGTGCCCACCACCGAAGTCAACGCCTGGTTGGTGCACAGAGACCCCGAAGGTTCCGTGTCTGGTAGCCAGCCCAGTGCTGGCATCGCCCTAGAAAACGGCAGCGGCCTGCAGGATGGGAGCAGCCCCGACAACGGGGTGAGGGAGAGCGGAGCTGAGCAGGGCTTTGGGGAAGAACTGGAAGATTTGGGAGCAGTGGCTGCCCCGGTGAACGGAGACCTGACCAAAGAGGTAGGCAGGATCTTCTTTTGCCTGGGGTGGGGGTGGAAAAGGGAGCCCTTGGGGGGGGGCTCTTGCCCTCTGGGATCCATCCGAGGGAGCAGCACTTGGTACGTTGTGTGTGTTTAGCACTTGGGAAAAGTGGGTCCCTGCTTGGGAATGGCGCAATACTAAATTATGGTTCGGTTAGAAGGCTCCAGGGGAATGTGTGGGGTGGTTTTTCCATTTTGTTTGGTTTATTCTTGGTCTGCAAGTAACAGCGAAAGGAGGGAGAAAGGGTTGGGGGGTCAGCATTTCAACCTGTGCGCATAGCTTTGTGTTGTGAAACCGATAAAACCAGGCAGGGAAATAAACAGGGGCATTGGGTAACAGCCTCATCCCAGGTGTCGGGCGGGCGGTTGGGTTACTTGGCTCTGGAGTTCATCCAGTGGAGATGTTTATTGCTTGGTTTTCATCACAGACGGGTGGGGAGAGGTGAACTGGAAAGTGGTTTATTTTTTTCTGTCTGAGCACAACCTTTCGGAGGCTGTGATGCAATGTTGGTCCCCGGGAGCTGCTGTTCTTTTTTTTCCTTTTTGGCACCGATCTCTTTGTCACGGCATGTTCGGCGTCTCCCTGGCCGTGGTGTGGGGGGATGTTTAGTGCTGATTTGCAGCGTCGGGTCCTTCCAGCGTCGTTCTTGCGTCTCATAAATTGTCTCTGGGAC